TGGTTCTGAACTCTTCCTGTTTAGTTTAGTCTTCTTTTCCCCTTTTTGTGTTTTGGCAGAAAAAAATTCAACAGTCAAAGGAATGGTTCTAATGTTCTGCCGTAAGTAGTTCATTTCTGAGAAGGAAAGTAAAGGAGTTTCTTAGAAAAACCTGCTTAGAATATGACTTCATTATACACGTGTACATGTACTATATGTACAATGTACAGTACATGCCAGTACATGTATGTGTATTCATACATGTACACATACAGGTGTGCTGCAACTCAATTCAATTTTTATTCTAATTTTCCACTTGCATGTCGACAACTACATGTACCAATCAATAAAATACACAGTGTGTGTGAACTTTATCACAAATTTTACTTCAACCATAATCACTGAAAATTCAACTACTGTACATGTACTGTAGTTCCAGGTCTACCTACACTTGATTTGAACAAGAAACCCGAAATTCACAACCCTGAAAAACTGACTTGCTATTCTGTAATGAACTTTGTCACCTTCACTAATCATATCAGTCTAGATTAACATGCTAAGTAAGCTGGGCAAGCGCATTTGGCTGAGATGAAGATGAAAGTGGTCCGAATAGAAAGAGCCTGGCCCAAAACACTTATCGTAGAATGGCCCCATCACCGTGCCAGCCAGCAACTGCCGTACTTTGCCCCCGCATTAAAGTCACCCGCTCGGATCATTGTTGGTTATTGATGGGCCGGCTCCAGGGCCCCGGCTCTCAAATGCTGCGGGGTCGTGCCTGGATGATGTTGCCGCTGGGCCGCATCATCAGTTATTGGTGCTCACCGAAGTGTCTCTAATTCATGGTTGAATGGATTGGAAGTGCTGCGGCATAGAGTAGGTAGATACCGGCATTGCCATGCTTCATTTAAGTTTAGGGGAGTGGACCGGTAAAGAACGATGATATGATGCTGCTGGAGCAATGAGCCCGGACAAAATTTATCCATTGAAATGGTGAGTGTGTTTTGATTATTTTTTTTTTCTAGTTATAAGCTGCATTACTTTAATCTAGTTTAATTCATAATGGTTTTTAAATAGATGTTGGTTATTGTACATTGCATCGGGTTTCCTTCAAGAAAGTTTGCTCTAAATTTATGCTTGCTAAATTTGATTGCCCCATTTTCACAAGAGCGTGCATGTTATCAAAGGCTTTGTTTTAGTAAGAAATTAATTGCATCTCCCTTTTAACTATTTCAAAATAATCTGCTTCAATACCTGTTTCGCAAATTTCTTGTATGTAGGTTTCCTTTAGACTGTATGTATTTTTCCTTTAGGCTGAGAGAACTTTGGAAATTGAAAAGCTAATAAAGAAAAGTGTTTTTGTAATTTTACCTGAAATTCCGGTGAGTATTAACTAAAACAGTTAATTATATGCCGTGTTCCCTCTCAGAGCCAACCTTCCTTTTCCAACACAGTGAAATGCCTGTGTCACCCACATCTGTCTCATTCAAAATATTCAATTTTTAGCCTTGTGATACAGCTTGACAGTGCAGGTGTTACTTAGAGCACACATTTCATTTTCATGGTAATTTTCTTCCCCGCATAATTGACCGAGTTAATATTTTACCCTCTAGTTTTTTGCCCCCTCAGCTGAATGGCCGGTTATTTGTTATCTTACGCCAGGTTGTGTCATCAAATATGTAATGATATCTTTCCTTTTCAAAAATCTAGGCTTTCAAAGACAGTAGACTACAGTAAGTTTTGAAAAGGCAAATTACATGTTTAATTGTATGTTCTGGATTATCAAATTAGAGCTAAAACAAATAGATAAAACTGAAGTGATTGTTAAAAATCAAGTAACCTAAAAAGAAACCGAAAAACTCAAAACTTACCCATTAGAAAAAAAAAAGTGGTCTGTAGGACTACTGAGGCGCAGTGGTTCTAAGATCCTTGTGAAGGAAGTATGGAATTAGGTATGACCGCCTTGCAGTGTGCCGCTGTGTGGAGCTGGGGGTACACTCATCACAGTACTGGTTTCCTGCTGGACGTGGTGCCTCGATTCCCTGAACCCACTGACACAGTCTCTTGACTGCACGCCATAAAGAATGAAGCCACCCCCAACAGAATGAACTTCAGACATGCGCCTATCTCTGAATCACCGGCACTAAATCCCCGATGGGATAAGGGACAAAATACACATTCCACTATGACAGGGAAATGTTTCACCATAATACCAAAAGCCCATCAAGTTTGGCTATGTTATGTGTTCGACCAGTTACAAATTTCAGATTTGGATCAATCTTAATGGAACTGACATTTCAAAAATGAAATTGACCTTTCAGAAAGAATCGTGGAGATTTTGCGATCGTGCTTCCTAATTACATTGTATCTCAAGCCAAACCAACTGACCACATATATAAAGTGGTCAGTTGATTCGGTTTATAGGTTAGTTTGCTGTTTGTTGGGTTGTTTGGTTGGTTGTTTCCGGGATGCCCTATGAGTCGGTAGTGTCATTGCAGATTGAGCTAAGAAATTTTCCACTCTATTCAGACTAAAAACCGGTAAGTCAATCAAGGTATTAACAAAGAAGATGAAAAATAGAAGACTTGTACACTGTGTTTTGTTTTAATCAGAGCCAAGCTTCTAATGAGATTTCTTTTTCAGATGTGTAATTTTTATAAATCTCTTTCATTACAGAGCATCTTCAAATGTCCTACAAACTTAGCATTCCCAACAGACGACTGGAGATCTAAAGACTATGAACGAAAGGAAGAAGGCCAATCATATGATTTACAATTTGTGACATCCCCAAGCTGCGGGGTTGATTACTGCAACGATTCTGTGGAGCCTTGCAGTTGTTTGTGTCAAGCATATACAACTTGCCGGGATCCAGCAGATGATTTAACCACCAAACCGAAAAAATCCAATTAAGTTGGCATCCCGGTACCTGTAATAATTTGATGCCCTCTGAGATGTTATGCTCGGATCGACAGTAGCAACTAGCAGGACCTGTTATCTCCCCATGGCATCAGGCCAAGACCCGAGAGCCATTAATCTTTTATCAAGGGCCCTTGTTTTTATGAATAATTGAAAAGCAACAAAATGGGGGGAAAAATCTACAGTGTTTCTTGTGACAAGATGGCTTGTTGATACTGCACGGCATGGCTACGTATTCAGCAAGGAGACATGGATTTGGGGGCCTGAGGAACAAGAGCAAGGGAAGGATTTGTGTCTCAAAAACAAATCTCCCATGAAAATGAGATGGACTCAGGGATTATTTGGTTATACATACACCATCAGCTAGGGTGTTTGAAGGGCTATGCATGCACTCCAAACCTAGGTAGGCTGCTGATGAATTTGATATTGGCTGAAAGAATATACGATGACTTGTTCCGTGTCTAAGAAGAGAGAATTATTTTGAACTGATCCCAAAGTCCTCGGGATTGCTTGACGGAGAAAGAAGTAAGCCAGCTGCTGTGTTGTGTCAGGTGGAATTATGTGTCTAGTTTGTCTCATGGGGGATGTGGAAGTCTCCTCTTTGCAAGACTTGAAGGACATTGGGGAATCACTCCGCCAGGTAAGTTGGCCCAGAAGTCGGTAGGTTTGTTCAGTGATGGCCCGACTACGTCAATCAAAACTCAACAGCTCCTAGCCAAGTCACTACTTGGTCAATTTTATTTTGATAATGGAACTTGATATCCCAGTTTTGGACAAAACGTTGGAATGTGGGCTGGCCGTTTCTTGGATTTGGAGAGGTTTTACAGGAAGTCAGCCGGTAAAAATAACTACGGGTACATCTAGTCCGGGTAATCCCAAATTAAAACCAGCATCCTTTCCCAGATCACCTCCTTCAGACTGATTCAAGCCTTCCTTGCTGCGATGTACAATACATCTCCCCAAACACTTCTACAACTGGCATTAGAGCAAAGAGACAGTTAAAGGGTATCAAAACAGTGGAAATGGTATCTGAAATAAGAGAAATGTTGTCTGAAACCATCGCACATCAGAAACTCCCAATTCGCAGGGCTGATGAAATTTGCACAGCTGAAGCCACAGTGTGTGTAATTATTAACTACACGTAGTACACTGCCTTGATGCATCGCCTACAGGCACATGCTATAATGTGTCCTCTATCGATTTCGGTCTTATGTTTTGGGGTTTGTTTGTTTTTTTTTCATGCTTGCCCTTTCATAATTTGTGTTCAATTGTGTATTTTTTTGGTGACTTTTTAAATGTCAATTGAATCGTGGAAATATCACCTTTGGTCCTGTCTTGTTTTGTCTTGATTTTAATTTATTGTAACTACATTGTATTTCCTATTTGAATTGTGTCAATTAAATGTACCAGGTACATGTACATGTACATGTATAACCTTATTTGATTAGATTTTGTCATCTAAAGAATATAAATCTGTACTATGTTTAACAACTTTTATGGGGGGTGTCCTTGTGTGGCAAACAGTTAAGATACATGTGTCATTATGTCAGCTGTCAGAAGAGCAGTCTCCTTTTCTCCGAGGTGCCTTGAGGATTTATCATTCCATCAATCCCATCATAAGCTTGGCAAATTATGCCATTTTAAAACACCTTTCAATATTTTTCATAATCTTTCCCATTTCCTTAAAAAGCCTGTGATGTCATATAACATCTGTTGGCCATTTAAGATGTACATGTGCCTTGGAATAAATCATGTTGCACTTTGACTTATAGTATATGTACTAGTACTGTGATAAATGTGTACTTCCTAATTTTGACACAGCTTGCTGAGTTTCGGTGATTTTCCACGGGGACTTGTGGTATTTCACGCTGCCTTACTGAAGCTGTGCCATCGTGCTGAGAATTTTACCACTCTTTTCCCCCACGTCTCACTTACGCTTTCAAGAAAGGAGAAGGTTCACCAGTCACCATCAAAATCACATTTCACTACCTGCACTTTAAGTTCAACTCCTCTTATCACGATATCTCCAAAATGCCAGCTTCTGGTTTGAATAAACACCTGCTCAAGGTTCATGTTTTCATGTTGATTACTCTTTTTTTCCTCGTCAGCTGCGTGAGTTGCTGACCAACGCACTGCCCGATGACCTTCTGGATGATGACACTGCTTCCTTCTCAAGTCACGAGTCCAATGGCTCGCTCAGCCAGCGGCATGAAAGTCCACCGAGTCCGAGGTCCGTGTTTGAGCAGTGAATGTTTGCTTTTCACTAAATGGACTCGAGTATGCGAAGCTGGGATAATGTAAATCTTTCTATAGCTGTGCGATTACAGGCTCTTTACAATTTTTCAACTGAGTTCCAGTCATTGGTGTATCGGGAAGCGGGAGAGGGGGGGGCGGTTCTCCGTTAGGACATGCTTTTATCAATTGAACCACCGCAGCTGGCCACAAGATTAGTCGATGCCGTTTCATGTCTTCAGCTAGCATGATTTTTGCGAAATACCACAACGAATGTTACATTGGTTTAAAGATGCACAAATTCACCCCAAAAGAAAAGACAGAATTCAATATCTACATCAGTTTTGACAAAGTGTCCTTCACATGGACGCAAATTCCTCCAATCCACAATTGGGTCCAATCTGCACACACTACTTTAGTGACTAATTCTGACAGCTAACCTACATGGCATGCATTTACAAAAGTCCGCAGAGTGCCCGTTCAACTCGAACTAAAAAATTCCTGTTCACATCTAAGTAACAGAAGTTCAAGCATGTGGTCAGTGGACATACATGTGAGTCAATCAGTAGTTTCTTTATTAATAATAATAATAATAAAGCATTTATAAGG